TAAATATCTAATTAATTTATGAGTAAGTATCTAATTAATTTATGAGTAAATATCTAATTAATTTATGAGTAAATATCTAATTAATTTATGAGTAAATATCTAATTAATTTATTTTTAAAGATTTAATATAGATGGAAGGTTTAAAACTTAATGTATTATATATTGCTTGTTGTACCTATTTTCTATGGCAGACCAATTGCGGTACTTCATTATATACACCAAACATTATATATCATTTAACTTTATTTATTTACAATATTGCATATATTGTTTATAAATAATGTTACCTAACTAATATTATTGCAGTTTGTTATATTTGCGTATTTAAACCACATAGGCAATTTATGAAAATATCTAATATAAAATATCTGATTTGAATATCCTGATATAACAACAGTTCATGCAATTTTATTAATTTCTGATTCAGTTTTATCAGTTTTACAGTAAAAGTAAAGCCTGCTTTTCTTCAATTTACTTTTAAAATTCGCTTATCATAGATAACTTGCTGTTTTCTGTATCAAACCATTGACGACAGAGTTCTCTCCCTATAGTTCTTTCAGGCATTACATCATTTATGTCATCAAGTTGCTTGTTAGATAAATGCTTATAGAAATTAAATTTTATTAAATGATTAAAATTTAAAGTCACACCTTTTGTGGTACTTTTTTTTTTGCAAGCTACTTGCAAGTCACTTGCAGTACTTTTATTTACAAGTAACACCATTTGCTGAATCTGTTATGCAAGTCATACCACATGCAGTATTTTTTTAATTTTAATATAATCAATATAAAAAATTATATATTAATGGAAAATTAAAAGAGACATTATTAAAATATATTTAAAAAAAAAAAAAAATTTTTAAATATAATTATGAAAAAATGAATTGAATAAAGTTTTCAAATATAAATTATAAACAGATGAAATCAAAGTCATAACTGAATAATAGAAAAATGAGGTAATTTTTGTAATCATTTTAATAATAACTTCTGCCACTTTTATAGTAGTATTAACTTTTATGTATAATTATAAAACCTTGTGCTATTAATAAAGTTAGTTATACTTCTTAAATATTTTAGGTCGAGATAATATTTTAATAATTTTATCAACAATTGACCTGTAGATAAATTTAGGAGAGTTTTATAATTGCATTTTTAATTCTCTCAAGTCTCTCAAAACAAAGACGGAAAAATATAGTTTAAATACCAAAAGTGCTACACAAAATCGGGTATGTGCTGCATTAAATTATTTTATAAAATTTGGCAGTTGCAAATAAAATGTGTAAACTTAAAATCGATAATAGGTTAGAAAAATAACAAGCATATCTTCAACGTTTACACTGCATTAACTTTTGGACAAAACTTTTTCGGTGCGAATTGTTCGCGCGACTCCTAAAACTAAATGTCCTGTAAACTGGAATTTTTTTGCGTTCGGTTCAGTCAATAGTGTAGCGACAAAAAAATAGTCTCACCCCGCAAAGTTTTAGTCTAGACACCTAAACCCTATTTAGTCGTTGAAATTTTCCTCATTTTAGCAAAAACTAGTTATTGTTAACAATTGAGCAAATCTGAAATACTGTCCACATCTTTAACCTTCATTTTGTAAGCTTTTTTCCGTTGAAAAAAAAAGTCTCTTAATTGCAATAACGTTGCATTTTTTTTTTTAAACGAGGTAAGTTGTATTACTAAATATCGAGTTATCGAATTTTGCGTTAAAACGTTACAACATCATATTTGCCACTGAAAAAAAGAGGTTAGACACGCAACCATGAAGTTTTGCCCATTTTTGTTTAAATTTAAAAAAATGTCATAAATTAAACAAAACTCTATTAAAAAACCTAAGTAATATGCGCAATACGATTAATTGAGCGCTTAATTAATAAACAAATTAGAAACTAAAAAAAAAGTTCTTACAATATTTTTAAGACGAAAGACTTAATAGACTTTAGTAACTGCTTAATACTATTAAAGACCAAATAGGGTAAGATGTTCCCAACGGGGGTAGATGTTGTTTGTTAATAATAAAAATGTATTAAAATGACAAGATTAACTGTTTTGAATAAACTAGGTTTTAATTTTTTTCAAGATGAATCTAAAAATGAGGGAAATAACATTTTTCTGTTCTGTGCATGGTTCCGCTCTTAACTTATTACTTGATAATACTACTAATCTATGCCATGATTTGTTTACACAATATTTATATAGATTAGAAGTAAATGTACTTTAGATGTAGAAATATAGCGATTTAGGAAGAAATGTGACAGAGTGCTTCTACATCAACTTATTAATACCTGGACTAACCCAAACTCTCAGTCAGTGTAGCAGCACTCCCTTTCACGTTTTACCTAAATTAGTCAATGTAGCAGCACTTCCTTACAATACTCCCTAATTTATTATAAAACTGACTTAATTTGAAAACTCAAAACCTCTTTTTGAGTGACATTATCTTCTGCTTACCAAGTTAGAATGATTTTTTTGGGAATATAAAATAAAGTTTGGTTTGTTTTGGTTTATTCATTCATGGTCAAAAATAAATTTACAAATTTTTTTTAACAAAGAGCGGCACACCGGGTCTCTCTGTTATGAAAATACAGCTTTTTAATTTCAGCTAAAGTGAAGATGCCGTAGCAGAGAAAGGTCGTGTTTAAAATTGTTCAAGTTCTTTGCGTCCACCACATTTTGGGTTAAAGAATTCCATAATCTTACAATACGGTTGGTGATGAAGTTGCCTTTTTCAGCGCAGTTTCGGACAAGTTATGCTCTTAGTTCTTTAGTGTGTCCACGAGGCCGAAAACTAAACTTTGAAGATTCCGTGTTAGGTTGAAGTTATCTGTTGGCCAATCGTTTTGTACGTATGCAAAATTCTCGACGCCAACTCCTACGTCGACATATGAATACACAGTGTTACTGAAGTTGAAGTCGCTGTACGCAAGTAAGGTTGAGCAGCCAATTGAGTTGCATTTGTCAGAGGCAGTACTTATTGAGCTTATTATTTCATCGAGCGTTAAGTTGTTCAGGTCGTGAGGACGGTAGAGACAGCCTATTAAAATTGATTCGTCGTGAAATTTTAATTTGATCCAGACTTGCTCAATAGTGATGCGGTTGAGTTGGTCAATTTTGGTGAAAAAACAATCAAGGCTTTCCTTTATGTAGATGGCCACTCCTCCTCTTTCGATTCTATTTTTTTTAAACAGAGATGGTACCCAGGTATTTTTGCGTCGGAGTTGTCGGTGAACCAAGTTTCGGCAATCAAAATAATGTGTGGTTGAAGTAAAGTGTCTATTGAGGTAACTTTGGCTCTTAGTTCGTCAATTTTATGGCCATTAACTGAGCAAGGATTATTGGCCCAGTAGATAAGTTGTTCTGGTTTCTTTGCTTTTGGTTGTGGTGGTTGTTGTAATTTTGGTTTTTAGCTTATTGGAAGAGATTTTTGGCTTATTATAATCGCCATACGTTGTCTATTGTGGTTGTTTGATGTTGCGTTGGCCATTTATTGTTTATTGAGTTGGCTACAGGAGTGTATTGGGTATTGAAAGATGGTTTGCAGTTGAGTGCTAGGTCGTTTATTGGTGTAGTCAGTTGGAGACGTTGGTTGATTAGTGGCCCTCTGGTTTTGGTAATATCTTTGATCTTTTTGCCTCGTATTACGAACAATGCCGTTGATTTTGCAGGTAGTGATACATTTTGTTTTGTGCATTCAATGCTTAGTTGCCATGCTAATTTCTTTTTGACTGCCGTTAGGTTAGGGTTGACGAAGAGTGTGGCATAATTAGCTCGATTTGCTGGAACTCAAAAAAACAAGCTTGACAGTTTTAGTATATGGTTGCGGTCGCTTTCATTAGAGAGTGTGATGACTAGCGGTCCCGTTTTGATTGGGTTGCCCGCAGAGTCGCGAGGTGTAAGGTGGAAAAAAGTAAGGTACTTGTCTTTGTCAGCACCAATAAGGTCGAGTACTTTGTTAATTTCAGTTTCATCGTGTTGCTTTTGGTCATTCTGGTCGGATGAACTTGATTTGCTTATTTCATGGATGACATCGTTCTGGTCGGATGATGTTGATTTGCTTATTCCATTGATATTCTTCGATCAAGTTTCGCGTCCTTTTGATTCTTTAGCAATGGTACCTATCATGCTAATTTGTTGCTGGTCTTTTTTGGGAGGTTTAGAGTTCTTGCTAACAACCATGGTGGCTGTTGGTGTTGTATCTGCTTGTATGTTGGTGCCGTGTTTTGTAATGATGGTTTTCAAGTTTGCGATTGTTAAGTCCTGGATGTTTATGATGGAGTTTATATTTGCTAGTCTTCTGGTTGTCTATCTGGCGTTCAGTGGCTAGGACTCTTGCGGTGAGTGAGACTATTTGTTTTGTGAGCTCATCACGGAGGGCTGCTACCTGGGAGTTTACTGTTCTGTTGGCCATAGCAGTGAGTTTACGATTTGCTTTATTTCTCTTAATACGCAAGAACTTTTTGCGGGGACAATTTGTATTTTTTTAAGATATTTTGTTTTTTAAGATATTTTGAAGCTAATATTTTAAGAATAGTTTTGAATTTTTGCGGTTTGGTCAAAAAATTTTTTGTAAAAAACCCAAAAGCGACCAAAGCCGAAGCCGCTAACCATTTTATTAAAGAAGGAATCGCTCGCAAAACAGCATATAGATATATCAATCGACAGCTTGATGGACAATGTTTAAAAATAAAAAAAAATTCTGGTCGCCCGTCATCGTGGACTAAGAAAAAAAAGCGAAACTTAAAAGGTTGACCAACAATCGAAAAGGTGTAAGTCAAAGAAAGCTCGCACGTAAATTCAACGTAAATCAAGCAACAATTTGTAGACAATTAGTCAAAATGAACATAAAAATATCGGAAACGCGAAAAAACATCGAAATACAATGATGAACAACGTCTAAGGGCACAAAAAAGAAGTCGAAAACTCGTCAATCACCTCTTCAAAGAACAAAGCGTTTTAATTTTGGACGACGAAAAATACTTTTGTTTTGCTGGCGATGAAATGCCTGGAAACGCCGGTTATTACACGAACGACAAAGAAAAATGTCCAGAAAATGTTCGTTTTGTGGGAAAAGAGAAATTTCCGAAAAAAATTCTCGTTTGGATTGCATTATCTGAGCGTGGAATGTCGAAACCACTCTTCCGGTCGTCAACCTCGGCTGCAATAAAATCCGAAATTTATATCAAAGAATGCTTAAAGGAACGATTGTTGCCATTCATAGATAAGTATCACGATGATTTAAATTACATATTTTGGCCGGATTTAGCTAGTGTTCATAGAGCTAAAGAGGCAATATCGTGGATGAATGAAATGATTAACTTCGTGCCGGTCGATATGAACCCTCCTAATGTCCCCAAAGCCAGGCCAATCGAAGACTTTTGGGGAGTATTGGCTCAGAATGTGTATGAGGGTGGATGGGAGGCCAAAAGTGAACAACAACTGATTCGGCGTATCGAAGCCTGTCTGAAAAAAATTGATTTGACATTTTTACAATTCCTTATGAAGGGTATCAAAATTAAATTGAGATTAATAGCCGATCAAGGCGTTCAATCGATTTACAAAAAATAATTTTTAAAAAATAAATATTCTGTTATTATTTTTTAAAAATGAAAAATTTTTTTTCTTTTATTTCTTTAAAAATATAAGGCTTTGATTTTTGTGTCACTAATTATGCATCACCCGTTATTTTAAGTGTTGAAATTTTTCTCCAATGATTAATAACAATTAAAAAAGTTATCTAACCAATAGATTTTTTATAATAATTTTTACTTTTTTCCAGGGACTTTTTTGAGCAGCATTTTATTTGTCAACTTTTGTCAATATCGAAATTTTCATTAAAATCTGAGGAGATTTTTAAAGAAATAATTACAAAGTGTGCAAAGTTTCAAACTCAATTGAAAGTTGTCACTCGAGAAAATTGGTTTCAAATTTTTAGTTTTTCCACATATTTTTAGGTTTTCTATTTGTTTTAGGTTTTCACTTATTTTTAGGTTTATAAATAATTGAAGAATATTTAACATTTTCATTAGAAAAAATATAACTTTTAAAAACGTTATAATGAAAATAAATTTTTTATAGAATCTTTATTTGAATGTTATTTTTTTTCTGGCACTCCCTTAAGTTTCAGTGAAACTTAATTTTTCATGCTATCGTATGCAAAAAGATGAGGGCTTTTTTCCCAAGTTCCCAACAAACTCTCAATTTTTCGTAATGCATCTTTTTTTGAAATAAGTATAACTACACACACGTTTGGAATTTGCTCCATGTCTGAAAGTTAGCTATCTCAAATACCCAAAAAATACAGGATCCTTCACTGACTGGAATGCAATCTGTTATGGAACCATGTAGCTCTTTAAAAGTTTTCATTTTTTAAAAAAGAAAAGTAACTTTAAGTAAATCACATATCTTCTTGATAGAGATAGTAGTTCTATCAATATATGTTGTTATTGTTAAACTTATAGAATGAAGTAAATATAAAAAACTTAAAATGCATTGGTCATATTTAAAAAGGAGCTAGCACACATTTAAGAAATTAAAAAAAAAAAGAGCAAAAAATTTTAAATGACAGAAAAATATGAGAAAAAGATTGTCAAAAAATGTTATTAATATATTACAAAGCCATGTCAAAGCAATCAGGGAGAACAAAACAGCTGTTTCCAACATATATATTATGCATCGGAGTAGCATTAGCTGTGCTATACACATCTAATAGACAAGAATTACTAGAGAGATCATTTGATAAGATTAAAATAAAAGTAGGTTGCAAACTTTTGTCTCAAAAAAGACTCTAAACGTATCTTGAAGGCTAAAAAACAAATTCAAGTTTAGATGCAAGAAATTACGAGCTACATACAAAAAAAAGTTAAGTCACAAGTCCAAATTTTAATTTCAATTCAAAAATGATTGTAGAAAAAAATCCTTTCACTAACTATTCATTAATGGGTTTTTGTCAATCAACAATTATGAACATAATTAGTTTTTAAAAACTGTTACTTTTCTTTTAGTGATAAATATCTGCTATTTACTATTAAAAACAAAAGCAATTTGAAACTCTATAACTTTATTTTTTAATGGTATACTACCTTAACTTTATTTTTACCCTCAGCACTAATAATGCTTCATTTTGCAATAACTCAACACTATTGCTGACATTAAAGCAAAAATTAGAAATAAATAAATAAATAAGGCATATCTTTTATATCTAGTATAATTCAAGTAGAACTTGTGCATAAAATCAAAGTGAACACAAAATCAAAGGTGCGTTACACAAAATGTAAACATATGCAAAAAAAGCGAGAACATCTAAAAATATTTAATTTCTTAACTTGTTTGTTGTTTAAAGTTAATATGTATTTTAAGTGTTTTTATAGTCATAAACATTATACGACAGTTTTTACACTTTAAATCTGTCTATCTTGCAATTGACACTTTAAAGCAGCCTACTCTCGAAGTGTAAATGAGCGAAAAAAAATACTTTATTTAATTTTTTTTTTTTTTTTTTTTTTTTTTTTTTTTGTTCTTTATTACATTTTAAACAAAATTCCGTTTTAAATATACAAATTAAAAAATAAAATATAGAAGTTACAAGAAAATAACACAAAAAAATAGTAAATAAGAAATAAAAGAACGTGGGGACTCGTAGAAGACCGTAAGGTCTTGTCGTCGAGAACCGCTAAAATAAACGTGATACAGACAAATTAAAAATATTCAGAAAACCCGTTATAAATATAAAGATCAGTTATATAAATACTATATAAGTTAATAAACATATAAATTGTCGTATATATTGATACATATTCTTGGTAAATATATAAATTATAAAAAAATAATAGTTCTTTGATAAGTGGAGGTAAAATGGGAAAACTATTAAAAATTATTAAAAGTAAATTGATAGATCGTCAATTGTAAAAATTAATTCTTTTAACTTTCCTTTAAAAGAGTTGTAGTTACATTGTTGGATAAAATCTTGAGAAAAGTTTTTTAAGGCAATTTTGTTCCATAAGAATGGTCCGCGAGAAGTAATGCAGAATTTGCTCAAGTTAGTTTGAAAAAATGGCTGCATAATAAAATTGTTATTGCGTAAAAAGTATTAATTTTTATCTTTTGACATATACAAATCATGGAAAGAAACTGGTGAAGAATTAGTTTTACATTTGAACATAAAACAAAGAGCATTATAAACATTGAGTTGATATACATTTAAGGCGTTCATTTTTTAATAGAGGCTTTGCATGAGTAAGACGTTCACTATAATGTAACAAACGTGGTGCATGCTTCTGATGACGATAAAGAGGTTCAAGTTTGCTTTTATTGGTGCAAGCCCATGCAATGTTTGCATAATTTATATGGCTATGAATAAAAGAGAAATATAATTGAGTTAAAATTTTTTTATTTGAAAAGTTTCTTGCTTTATATAAAATTCCTAAACTTTTTGAAGTTTTGTTATATAAATTTTCAATATGATTTTTCCATGAAAGATTATCATCAATATAAACACCTAAGAATTTTGTAACGTTTACTCTAACTATTTCGATGTTATCAATAAAAAGGGATGGCATTTCATAAGGCAGTAGTTTTTTCTTAGAGGGCGGGTGAAAGAGAATCCAGTTTGTTTTTTGAATATTAAGCTATAATTTATTTAATTTAAACCTGTAAGAAATCTTGTTTAATTCTACATTCATAAGTTGAAACAGAGTAGTGATGTTAGTATGAGATAAGAATAAGTTTGTATCGTCTGCAAACATGATTGTTTTTAATCTGTATACTTTATAGAGATCGTTGATATATATAAGAAAAAGAAGAGGTCCGAGAATAGATCCTTGAGGAACACCACAAGTAATTTCTAACAAACTTATTGGAGAGGAAGCGTCAATGGTTACAAATTGTTTGCGATTACGTAAATAACGTTTTATCCACTTTTAAAACATTTCCAGTTATTCCGTAATTTTTGAGTTTTTAAAAAAGAATTTTATGATCTATTGTATCAAAGGCTTTTGATAGGTCGATGAAGATGGTTGGTTAAATAATAAATTGTTGTTAGTTAAATGAGTGTAAATTTTGTTATAAATAATTCTTTCTAAGACTTTAGAAAAGACTGGAAGAACAGAGATAGGGCGATAGTTATTGATATTTGTTAAGTCTCCTCCTTTGAATATCGGTGTGATTTTTGCAATTTTAAATTGATCAGGAAAAATTCCTTGTCTGATTGAAAGTGAAAAAATTTTAAAAAGCACGTCTTTTATAACCTTGTATGAATTTTTTATTACATTGCCATTTATATCATCTAAGCCAATTGCTTTATTTGGTTTTAGCGCACTAAAAGTTGTTTCAAATTCTTCAAACGATAATTCCAAAAAATCAAGATTGCTAATGCAATAGATGAGATATCAATTGTTTTCTTTATATTAGGTTTATTTCTTGCTAAATTAAGTCCGATCGTGACAAAAAATTTGTTTGGTTCGATTGCTATTTCACGTGGATCATAAGAGATATCACCATTAATTTTAATGCCATTTTTCAGAGCGCATGATTTAATTTTTATTTTACCGGTAATTTCTCTTAAAATTTGCCATGTGCGTTTTGAATCACATTCGTATCGCATAAGTAAATCGGAATAGTATTTTTTTTTAAGATTCTTTCTAATTTTTTCAAATTCTCTCGCGTATTTTTTGTAGTTGGTTTTACTTTCTATCGTTTTTTCTTTAAGGTATTTAATGTATAACTTTTGTTTGACTTTTGATGATTTTCTTACGGTGTTTGTAATCCATGGTGATTTTACACTTTTGGTTTTTAAGTTTATTTCGCGTTTCGGAAAGTTTACATCATATACCTCTTAGAAGATATAAAAAATTGGTTGTAAGTAAAGTTTACGTCAGATGAAGTGTTTATATCTTTCCAATGAAGCAATGACAGTTGTTCATGAAACGATAATAAATTAGCTTCGTTATAGATACGTTTCATTAGGTAGTACTTTTGGTTTTATATTTATAGAGAAAAAAATGGGGAAATGATCGGAAATGTCACTTTTAATAACACTCTTTTTGAAAGGTTCATTAAAAACATCGTTAGTTACAATATTATCGATTATTGAAGCCGTTTTTTCGGTAGTTCTGGTTGGTCTATCTATTAAAGAAAACGCTCCATTTTTAAATAATTCGTTATAAAACTTTTGTGTGCTTTGTTTGACGTTTTTTTTTTTTTTTTTTTTAACATCTTCACTTCCAACAAGGCTGCAAGCAACCACTATAAGAATTGGAAGTTACTGGAAGAGAAATGATGACTTAAATGATTGCAAATTATATGAATCAGGGAAGCAAGATGAAGGAAGCGAATTCCAAATAACTGATGTTCGAGGAAAAAAACTAGAAGAATAAGAGTTTTTGAAGCACTTAGGAACAGTCACAGAAAAAGGATGAGACTTAATTGAATGATGAGTAACACAAGAATGAATTTTAGTAGATGGCACAAGAGACGCTAGCTCTTTAGAGCAGTGCCCATTATAGTATTTGTAGAAAAAAGAAAGAGAAGCAACATCACGACAATGTGACAAAGGTTGGAGATTGGCTGCC